TTGAGAGAGCTCTCTCAGCCCCACCCACCTCACAGGGTATCTGTTGTGGGGAGGGGAAGGGAAAAGAGTTTGTAAGCCACTCTGAAACTCCTTTGGGTAGTGAAGGGAAGGGTATAAATCTAATCTCTTCTCTTCATCTCTTCTATAGAGTAGTGATGCTCAAACACCTGCCAGCTTGAGCCAAACTCATGTCCTGTTCACCAGTCACGAAAAGGGAGCCGAATTTTTGATGATCATTTTTACTGGACGGCTTTAAGAGGGAACTGGATAAGCATATGGAGCAGAGGTCCATCAGTGGCTATTAGTCACAAGGTATAGATGGGAACTCTCGGTCTGGAGCAAGGGATGCTCCAGTGGGAGGGCTTCTAGTGTCCTGGCCCCACTGGTGGACCTCCTGATGGCACCTGATACGTTTGGCCACTGTGTGACAGAGTGTTGGACTGGATGGGCCATTGGCCTGATCCAGCACTGGCTGGGCCTGATCCAACATTGGCTGCTCTTATGTTCTTATGACCTGCTTGTGGGTGTTTGCAGGTTGTTTCACTGCATCCCTCCCAGACGATGCAGTACAGCACAACTGGCCTTTTGTGCACGTGTGCTCTCACACAGCTCGACTGAGATCTATTACACTCCGTCCTCCTTGCATATCTCTGCAGGCAACTGTTTCGGTAGACGAATGTATCATTCGCTAATCATATAAATGGGACTTTAATAAATGCAGTGTTTAAATAAAATCCTACCGTTGGCCTGATCCAACATTGGCTTCTCTTATGTTCTTATGACCTGCTTGTGGGTGTTTGCAGGTTGTTTCACTGCATCCCTCCCAGACGATGCAGTACAGCACAACTGGCCTTTTGTGCACGTGTGCTCTCCTCACACAGCCCGACTGAGATCTATGACACTCCGTCCTCGTTGCATATCTCCGCTGCTCTGCAGGCAACTGTTTCGGTAGACGAATGTATCATTCGCTAATCATATAAATAGGACTTTAATAAATGCAGTGTTTAAATAAAATCCTACCGTTCAGTAGTCATCTGAGTTGTTCCTAGTGACGCTAATGGTGAACATGTGAAGCTGCCTTATATTGAAGCAGACTGTCAGTTCATCAGTGTCAGTAGTGTCTACTCTGATTGGCAGGGGCTCTCCAGGGTCCCAGGCGGAGGTCTTTCCCATCACTTACTGCCTGGTCCTCTTAACCGGAGATGCCAGGGATTGAACCCGGGACGTTCTGCATGCCAAGCCGAAGCTGTACCACTGAGCTACGCCCCCCTCCCCATTTGAACTGTCAGTGTCTTTGTGCATGTGTAGTTTTGCAAACACATACTGCAAATCAGT